CAGCACGGCTAATATTTTTTTTCTCCTTCCAAGTCTCCATTATATGCAAAGACAGATGTCTCAGTCTTATGAATAATCAGATGTAAATTAACTAACAGAGGTGAAAATTCACCTTGCACTCCTCTGGCCCACATAAAAGGAAAAGAAAGCAAGCATGAAATTAATTTTATTTACCGTTAAATGATAAACTGGAACATGAATTGTGATGGTGTGGAAATAAATTAATTTCAGCAGTCCTCGAATAAGTCAAGTTAAATGTCAGGTGTGTTCCTTGGAAATACTTAATCGCTGCTTAGGGCCAGAATTGGCATTAAAGTTGTAGCAAGCAGCTTTTCCTCTCTTTTTTTTTTCTTTTCTCTTTTACTCTAGTCCAGGGAAGGTTCAGGCATCGGATCCAGATGTTCGCTTTAAACACAAGGATTTAACCTTCCTCCCAAACATCTTGCTGCCAGATCAGAGTGAATGCACAATATGCACAGGTTTCATCTTCAACACAGTGACAACAGGGAGAAGGAGTTAAAACCTAGGCTAGGTTTCCAATTTAGATTATGCAACTTACATTTAAGTCTTTATTTATCATATCAGAAGCAAACCAAGGGTACACTTGTAATGTCTTTTTTAAAGTTCAAGTAACTCCGTGAATTTCATAGGATTTCTTTTAGGCAAGAATCTTTAGAGATGGTTTTGCAAGTTCCTTCCTCTGAAATATAGCCTATATCACTTGGTATTTGTTTGCAATCTTCCATCTGAGTACTAACCAGTGTTGACCTTGCTTAACCTCTAAGAACAGACAGATGGGATCTGGTTCTTTTAGAACAGTGGTTTCCAACCTATGGTCTGCAAGAATGAAAATAAGGTCCGCAGCCTCAAAACCATGTGGCAATGAGAGTGACTGGTCTCGTGAAATCCTCCTATGGTGTCAAGGCAACAAGGTTGGCGGGGGGGGGGGGGGGGAGGAGAGGCTGACTACCCATGAAAGATTATTACTACCACATCAGCTCTAGATTATTAAATATGGTTTCTGTGGGCAAGCAGATGGCAACTACTGGATGGGATATGTTCTGTATCAGAAACTACAGCTGATGTGGTCTATCTAATGCAAATTTCTGAATCAGCACCACAGATAACAAAACCAAATCTAAAGTTGACCAAAAACTGATTTGTAACCCTTTTGGTACTAATGTCGGAGTGTGGTCCCCCAGTCAAAGTACTCCCTGTTCAAGTAGTCCCTGGCGAAGTGATTCCTTGTCAAAGTGGCCCCTGGTCAAGAGTTCCCTGGTCAAGTGGTCCCTGGCCATAGTTGTCCCTGGTTAAAAAAAAAGGTTGGGAACCATTGTTTTAGGGCATTACACTTACATTTACTGTGAAGCAAAATAGGGACGGGGGAACTGCTAAGTCTCGATGTTAAGGTACTCTTTTGCCTTTATTTCTGACTAGCTGTCCCCCGCCATGCGTTGCTGTGGCCCAGTCTATGTATATGTGTTTTGTGTGTGTATATGTGTGTGTCTATATTTGTGCATATGTGTATATACACATATGGAAATGAGCACTAACCCCCGGAGTTGGACATGATTGGACTTAATGTCAGGGGAAAATGTTTACTTTTACCTATGTGTATATATGTGTGTTTGTGCATATATATGTGGGTTTGCGCATGTGTTGTAATGTAATTTTTGTTTTTTGGCATTTTAAGTCCCTTCTGCTGTGTTTTCCAGTGTTTTTATGAGTGATGGTCACTCTTTAGCCTGATAGGTGTCTTGTGTCCAAATTTGGTGTCAATTCATCCAGTGGTTTTTGAGTTACATTACATTTCTATTTATATAGACTAGCCATCCCCTGCCACGCGTTGCTGTGGTCCACATGGGGTACTGTGTGGGAGGTTTGGCCCAATTCTATCGTTGGTGGAGTTCAGAATGCTCTGTGATTGTAGGTGAACTATAAATCCCAGCAACTACAACTCCCAAATATCAAGATTCTATTTTCCCCAAACTCCACCAATGTTCACATTTGGGCATATTGAGTATTCGTGTAGAGTTTGGTCCAGATCCATCATTGTTTGAGTCCACAGTGATCTCTGGATGTAGGTGAACGACAACTCCAAAACCAAAGGACACCCTTCCAGTATTTTCTGTGTGCCAAGTTTGGTTCAATTCCATCATTGGTGGGGTTCAGAATGCTCTTTGATTGTAGGTGAACAATAAATCCCAGCAACTACAACTCCCAAATGACAAAATCAATTTTTTTTTAGTGAAGGACATACATTAGGTTGTTAGGTGTCTTGTTTCCAAATTTGGTGTCAATTCGTCCAGTGGTTTTTGAATTATGTTAATCCCACAAAAGAACATTACATTTTTATTTATATAGATTGATGTTTTTGTGCACTCCAGATGTGGAAAGGCACCTAATTCTAATAATAAATAGTATAATTCTTCAAAATTTCTTATCAGTGTAGGCTTGGCTGAAATGTCAAAAGAAACAAGCCTATCAGGAATTCATTGCCATGTTCCAAAAGTTTAGCTGAATAGAAAGGTTTTCACCTGCCAACAGAAAGACAGTAAGGAGACACCGACCCCAACCTTCCTAGAAATATAAAAGAGATGAGGATTTAAAACAGATGGGCAAATGTTTCTTGGGAGATCTCTCAATCACTTAATGCTGTGTCCTCGAGCCCTCCTTTTCTTCAAGGTCGCTCCCTTAATTCCTTGGTGCCTTTGCATCCTCAGTCTGGAGGGGCAGGGTTTCTGTGTTCAGATGGCACGCTTTGCATACAGAAGATTCACTGCATGGCATTTCCAGTCTTGAAAGTCTACAGCAAGAGAACGAAAGGAAATGCTTTGCCTAACTGCTACGATCAGTATTACTGATGCCACTGAAAGTCATAATTAGTCACTTTATAGGTCAAGTGTAGAAGATTTGTGAGTCTGACTCTGTTCCATTAATATTTCGGCAATTCAAACTGAGATGGATTAAGAATGAAGTTACATTTTTGTGCATAACAAAATGTGAATGGCTCACGTTTTGATTATTAGAAACAAAGTATTATAGGAGCCAGTCAGAGAGGAAGGCACTGAGATATGTTATTCTATGATGTGGGACAGAAAAGAGTACATTTGCCCCTCCAGCATCCATGGATTGAGCTATCCATGGCTTGACTTTGCCCTTTTTAATAGGATATGCCATTTTATGGCACCATTGTATATCATGGGACTTTAGCAATCATAATTCTGGGATCCACAGAGGGTCTTGAACCAAATGCCAGCAAATACCAAGGGCCCACTATGCTGTATTGCCCATATCATATTTCCATGATACATTTTGGTGCCTTATTTGGAAGGGAAATCAAAAACTCAGGATTCATATTTTATCTGAATCTGTAAAGAATTGAGTTAGATTGCTTAAGTATGTACTATATAAAAACTCAGAATCAGTATGAACTAATAGTGTATTGTTTTTATTGTTGTATTGCTTTTACTGTTTGATGCTTTGAGTCTCATTTTAAGAGAGATAAAATAAATTAATAATAATTTTTTTTTGTGTCGTGAGCAACTTGAGAAACTGCAAGTCGCTTCTGGTGTGAGAGAATTGACTGTCTGCAAGGACATTGCAGACATTGCGGGTGTTTGATGTCTTACCATCCTTGTGGAAGGCTTCTCTCATTTCCCTGCATGGGGAGCTGGAGCTGACAGAGGGAGCTCAACCTGCTCTCCCCAGATCCGGATTCAAACCGCTGACTTATCAGCTGTCCTGCCAGCACAAGGGTTTAACCCATTGCGCTACTGGAGGCTCCTATAATAATAATAAAACATTATGTTGGGACTCACTAGATGACCTTGGGTCACTTGGAGTCTCTCAGAGAGCAACTATATTGTAGAATTAATGATTCAATGCTATGGAATCAAGGGAGTGGTAGTTTTACAAGACTTTCACGTTTTGTGCTGCCTCACCAAACTACAGATCTCAGGTTTCTATAGCATTGAGCCATGGTGGTTAAAGTGTCAAACAGCATTAATTTTATAGTGTAGAGCCAGCCTTAGTCCAACCTGCTGCTCAGGGCTGTTGCAAGGATGAAGTAGGGAGGAAGAGATCCATAGGTACCATCCTGATTTAACTGAAGGAGAGGTGAGCTATAAATATAGCTAATAAATCAATATGTGGTAAGGCAGTTTCTTGTGTTTAGAGGATGTGCCGCCTACCTTTCCTGAGTAATAATGAGTCTTAACATGGTCAGATGCACGGAAACTGCCTTTCCGGATGGTACTCCCTTTGACAGAGGTCAAGTAGGTCACCTCCGACTCAGATATAGTTTGTTCCTACATTTTGTAAATGCAAGTTGCTGTCAGTCAGGGAAGGCTCTGTGCAGACTGATATGCCAATAGGAATTTTCTGTCTTATTACTCTCCTTGCCCAGTGGGAGAAGACAGCTGTCAGATTATCACTGGGAATATATTTCCCTTTCTGCTTTCTGTAATTTAGAGCCCATTTCTTCTGTCATTTACAACACACTGCAAGGTGTAGTATTTGTGTGCGAGACAGAGAGCAAAAGAGAGAGAGGAAGAAAGATCAAATAACGTATATATTCTATACATAAGAGCATCCGTCTCCCATCAGAGTTATCTTTATGTAGGGCTGTGTTCTGAATCTTTCTCCTGACAGACTTTCTGCATTGCAGTCATTTAAAATTATACCTCAATGACAAGCCAGGTGAGAAGTGTTGTGCTGAAGGACTGACCCTTGTAATGCCAACCCAAAAATCAAATCTACTAAAAGAAACTTATTGCAGAGGGAAGAAATTGACTGTCAGTTTTGATCAGCACCATTAAATAGGCTGTCATCGGCGTGCTAGATGTTTTGGTCAGATATTGACGCTCCCAGTGGCTGCTGAATGCTGATAACGCAGGTGGAGAGACAAGGATGCGGCGAGAGGCAGTGACTTCCGCTCCATTGTGCTGATGGTCTCTTCTTTTCCCCTCCTCTCCCGTCCACTTCTGTTCCCCCTTCAGGTACGACATGTCTGATTGCCTTGCTGTCAGATAAGGAGCTCACGGTGGCCAACGTTGGGGATTCGAGGGGCGTCTTGTGCGATAAGGATGGGAACGCGATCCCTTTGTCACACGATCACAAGCCCTATCAGCTGAAGGAGAGGAAGCGGATTAAAAGAGCCGGTAAGCTTATAAAGTTGGATACGTTCTTCTGTAGGTGGTCTGACAGAAAACGGTAGCAACTCATCTCAGGTGTTATTTTCTTTATATGTGAAAAAAGCCATTTCTCTTTAGGCCAGCGTTTCTCAACGTGGGGGTCGTGACCCCCGGGGGGGGTGACGAGAGGGTGTCAGAGGGTCACCAAAGACTATCACAAAACACAGTATTGTCTGTTGGTCGTGGAGGTTCTGTGTAGGAAGTTTGGCCCAATTCTATACCTGGCAGGGTTGAGAATGCTCTTTGATTGTATGTGAACTATAAATCCCAGCAACTATAACTCCCAAATGTCAAGGTCTATTGTCCCTAAACTCCCCCAGTGTTTGTCTTTGGGCATACTGAGTATATAAACCCTTTTTCCTAGTTCCAACAGACCTCACTACCTCTGAGGATGCTTGCCATAGATGCAGGCGAAACGTCAGGAGAGAATGCCTCTAGACCAGGGGTCCTCAAACTTTTTAAACAGAGGGCCAGGTTACAGTCCCTCGAACTGTTGGAGGGCCGGATTGTAATTTGAAAAAAAAAATGAATGAATTCCTATGCACACTGCACATATCTTATTTGTAGTGCAAAAAACACTTAAAAGCAATACAATAATTAAAATGAAGAACAATTTTAACAAATATAAACTTATTAGTGTTTCAATGGGAAATGTGGGCCTGCTTTTGGCTGATGAGATAGGATTGTTGTTGTTGTTGTGTGCTTTCAAGTCATTTCAGACTTAGGTTGACCCTGAGCAAGGGCCGGGTAAACGACCTTGGAGGGCCATATCCAGCCCCCGGGCCTTAGTTTGAGGACCCCTGCTCTAGACCATGGCCATATAGCCTGAAAAAACCTACAACAACCTATACTGAGTATTCATGCCAAGTTTGGTCCAGATCCATCATTGTTTGAGTCCACAGTGCTTTTTGGATGTAGGTGAACTACAACTCCCAAATTCAAGGTCGATGCCCACCAAATCCTTCCAGTATTTTCTGTTGGTGATGGGAGTTCTGTGTGCCAAGTTTGGTTCAATTCCATCGTTGGTGGAGTTCAGAATGTTCTTTGATGGTAGGTGAACTATACATCCCAGCAACTACAACTCCCAAATGACAAGGTATATTTTCCCCAAATCTAGTCCAATGAATGAAAATACATCCTACATATCGGATATTTACATTGTGATTCATAACAGTAGCAAAATCATGAAGTAGCAACAAAAATAATTTTATGGTTTAGGGTCATGATGAACTGTGTTAAGGGGTCGCGGCATTAGGAAGATTGAGAAACCCTGCTTTAGGCAAAGTCGACTTCAGATCTTTTAAAATCTCGCACCACTTTCGTACTGCTGTGTTTTAGCTCTTTGATACCACTTTAGCTACCTTGGCAAAACCCAGTGGAATTATGAGGATTGTAGTTTAGTAACATACTACAGTTCTCCATATGGCAATTCTAAATACCCCTCGCCAAACTACAAATCCCAATGTTCCATAAATGGAGCCATGGGAGTTAAAGTACATATTTCTCAGGGTGCATCTATACCAGGTATGGCCAAACTTTAGTCCTCCAGGTGTTTGAATTGTGGGAGTTGGAGTCCAAAACACCTGGAAGGCCAAAGTTTGCCCATGCCTGATCTATACTGTAAACCAAGAGTCCTCAAACATTTTAAACAGAGGGCCAGGTCACAGTCCCTCAAACCGTTGGAGGGCCGGATTATAATTTGAAAAAAGCATGAATGAATTCCTATGCACAATGCACATATCTTATTTGTGGTACAAAAAACACTTTAAAAATACAATAATTAAAATGAAGAACATTTTAAACAAATATAAACATATTAGTATTTCAATGGGAAGTGTGGGCCTGCTTTTGACTGATGGGATAGGATTGTTGTTGTTGTTGTTGTTGTGTGCTTTCAAGTTGTTTCAGACTTAGGTTGACCCTGAGCGAGGGCTGGGTAAATGACCTTGGAGGGCCGTATCTGGCCCTTGGGCCTTAGTTTGAGGACCCCTGCTGTAGAATTTAATGTAGTTTGACTCGACTTTAACTGCCATGGCTCTGTTTATTTATTTATTTAAAACATTTATACCCTGTCCTTTTCGACCTCCGCGGAAGGATTCAGAACGGCTTCCAAACAGACGACTTCTGAGGATGCTTGCCATAGATGCAGGTGAAACGTCAGGAGAGAATGCTTCTAGAACATGGCCATATAGCCCAAAAAACCTACAACAACCCAGTGATTCCGGCCATGAAAGCCTTTGACAATACAGGCAACAATTCAATGCCAAACATAATATAAAATACATAATAAATACATCCACAAAATTCAAGTGATTCTAAATATACATTAAGAACCCGCTTGCCAGATTAAAATCACCAGAATTAAAACCGTCATCCAAAGCAGTCCAAATCCGGTCCAATAAATCTTGTCTTTCCCAGTAATCAAACTATTCTATGAACACCTGATCCCATAACCAGGATTTAAGCTTCTTCCGGACGGTCAGGAGGGAGGAGGCAGACCTAACCTCATTCTATGGACTCCTGGGATGGGTAGTTTGGTGAGTCACCAGCACTCTTTAGCAAAGACTTTGTACAATTACAGGCCCTTCCACACAGCCCTATATCCCAGAATATCAAGACAGAAAATCCCACATTATCTGCTTTGAACTGGAATATATGGCAGTGTGGACTCAGATAACCCAGTTTAAAGCAGATATTGTATGATTTTCTGCCTTGATATTCTGGAATATAGGGCTGTATGGAAGGGTCCTACAACTCCCATGACTCGATAGCATTCGGCCACGGCACCTAAAGAGGTGTCAACTGCATTAAATTCTACAGGCATGGGCAAATTTCAGTCTTCCTGGTGTTTTGGACTTCAGTTCCCACAATAGGAGTAGGAAGGATCATGGAGAAAGAAAGGGAGCCTTAGGGAATGATGGAATATGAGAAACATACTTGATGTATTGTCGAAAGATACTTGATGTATTGTCGAAGGCTTTCAAGGCCAGAATCACTGGATTGTTGTAGGTTTTTCGGGCTGTATGGCCATGTTCCAGAAGCATTCTCTCCTGACATTTTGCCCACATCTATGTCAAGCTTGTCTTTACCTTCCTCTGAGGCCAGGAGAGGGTGACTTGCCCAAGGTCACCTAGACCCCTTCCACACAGCTGAATATAGTCAGTTTGGGCTCATTTAACCCCAATTCAAAGCAGAGATTGTGGGATTTTCTATCTTGATATTCTGGATTGTATGGCAGTGTGGAAGGTCCCGTAGTGGGTTTCCACATGCAATCAGGGCTACAAACTCTGGTTTCCATGGCATCTATGGCAGGCATCTTCAGAGGTTGTGAGGTCTGACCTCTGAGGATGCCTGCCATAGATGCAGGTGAAACGTCAGGAGAGAATGCTTCAAGAACATGGCCATACAGCCTGAAAAACCTACAACAACCCAGATACTTGATGGTTTCTCAGTGTCTTAAAGATTAGTGTGAACAGCCTAGAAAATCCTAGATTGCCCAAAGCGCAATACGAAAAGCACATTCAAAATTAATTTTGGGGAAAAAATACATTCATCTTTCCAAAATTAATTTTGATTATACTTTTCTATCAGATGCACTGTGGGTGCTTCAATTTATTCTTCTGGCTGTTAATTTTATTCTGGCCAGGTTTCTATATTAGCTTGCTGAAGGAAGCAACTTTCTTCAAGGGGATTTTCTACCCAAAGTAATCATCTCAATTCCACGGAATCACCACAGAGATAATCTAGACCTTTGGGAATGCTACTAGCTATGCTAGCTGTGGATTCTGGAAGTTGTAGTTTGAAAAATCTTCTCCAATTTCTGCTGTCCCTAACCTGCAGTCTGCCAGCTAAATATTTCAAAGGTGACAGTCATCATGTAATATATCAATACATAGCCTCTTGATATTAATAGCAGCACCTACTTGAAAAGGTAAATCCAAGACAATAAAACAGTTTATATAAGTTACATTAGGGAACTAACCTGCAATTTCCAAGAACGTGGCTTAAGCACAGTAAGATTTAGGAATCAGCAAAGAGCCTACTTGTAGGATAGCACTACCATTGTCTTCCAATAGCGTAGCAGAGAAAGGATGCTGTTTCTGGCTGCCCAGATCTACAAGCCAAACAAGTTGTTTTGACTGTGTGTCAGGAAGGTTGTGAATCTGCAGAACTTTCTCCTAATATATGACCAAACAGACCCTGAATATAAGCCAGTCCCAACACTCAAGCAATACATTTCTGCTCATCATGGTCAGTGGAAGGAGAGGAGAATGATGAATGTCTCATCACAGCAAGCCAGCTCCATCATTGCTCTCCTCACATCACCAACACATTCACTACCAGATTCCTGAACTCCAATACAGGAGAGACAACGTGCAGGTTCACATATCGCTGCTCAAGACTCCTTTTTCATCCTCTCAAACTGCCTTGTTTTTTTAAATACATCAACACTGTGGTTTGCCATCAGAAAACCATTGCTAAATGCACCAAACCACTACTAAATACAGTACAAGTTCATCATTCCTTATCCAAAATGACTTAGACCAGAAGTGCTCCATATTTTGGATTTTTTTTCAGATTTTTTAACATTTACCTCTATCTATAGATATATAAAGATATTTTCTGGAGATGGGATCCAAATCTAAACACAAAAGTCATTTACGAAACATATGTATCCTGAAGGTAACTTTTTGCACAACATTTTAAATAATTGTATTCATGAAACAAAGTTTGTGGACACTGAACCATCAGAAAGCAAAAGAGTCCCTTTCTCAGCCACCCATGTAGATAGTTTTGGGTTTTGGAGTATTTTGGATCTCAGAATTACAGATAGAATCATAGAATCATAGAGTTGGAAGAGACCTCGTGGGTCATCCAGTCCAGCCTCCTGCCAAGAAGCAGGAAAATTGCATTCAAAGCACCTCTGAAAAATGGCCACCCAGCCTCCGTTTAAAAGCCTCCAAAGA